TAGCAGGTCACGGGTGTCTCCATCCCAACCCAGCATCGCCGACTTCCAGGCTGGGGAAACGGTGCAAAGGCGTGGCCGGCGAGCCACATTCAATCACTGGAGAGAAGGGGAGAGGAGGCGCGGGGCCGATCCCGCAGGTCAGAAACTTTGCACGGGGCAGCTTTTGCGTCCCAGGAGAGAAGCCAAGGAGTCCCCTCACCATCTCCCCCGGCCCCCGGGGCAGGCAGCCCGTGGCACACACTCCTGGTGCTCGGTAAATGCTTGTGAATTTCAAGCCAAGGCCCCGAGCCTGAACGAAGGCATGGTCTTTGCTGCCCCCTGCTGGTAGGTCAGGCGAAAGCACCGAGAAAGTGAGTTTTTTAAAAATTATTTTTTGTTTTTTGTTTTTTTGAGACGGAGTTTCGCTCTGGTTACCCAGGCTGGAGTGCAATGGCGCGATCTCGGCTCACCGCAACCTCCGCCTCCCGGGTTCAGGCAATTCTCCTGCCTCAGCCTCCCGAGTAGCTGGGATTACAGGCACGCGCCACCGTGCCCAGCTAATTTTTTGTATTTTTAGTAGAGACGGGGTTTCGCCATGTCATCCAGGCTGGGCTCGAACTCCTGACCTCAAGTGATCCGCCCGCCTCAGCCTCCCCAAGTGCTGAGATTACAGGCGTGAGCCACCGTGCCCAGCCAAAAAAGGTATTTTTAAGGGTTGATTTATTTTAAAACTGCAGTGCTTTCTGCGGACCAGGAAGGGCTTTATAAATATTAACTTTGCGGGCTGGATTAGCCTCATTTTCCAGAGAGATAAACTGATCCCCAGAGGATTCAAAGTCGCACAGCTATGAAATGTTATAATCCGGTCTCCAAATCTGGAATAGTATGATTCTAGACTCAAGCATTAGGCTTCTAGTGCATTTATTAATAGTAAGCAGGCGTCATGTGCTAGGCAGCAGGGAATGAGAAACTAAACCCCGCCAGGTGTAACGGCTCACGCCTGTAATCCCAGCACTTGGGGAGGCCCATGTGGGAGACGCGCTTGAGCCCAGGAGTTCAAGACCAGCCTGAACAACATAGTGAGACCCTGTCACTACAGAAAAAAAAAAAAAAAAAAAAAAAAAAAAGCCGGGCTCGATGGCTCACGCCTGTAGTCCCAGCACTTTGGGAGGCCGAGGCGGGTGGATACGAGGTCAAGAGATCGAGACCATCCTGGTCAACATGGTGAAACCTCGTCTCTACTAAAAATACAAAAAAAATTTAGCTGGGCATGGTGGCGCGTGCCTGTAATCCCAGCTACTCAGGAGGCTGAGGCAGGAGAATTGCTTGAACCCGGGAGGCGGAGGTTGCTGTGAGCTGAGATCATGCCATTGCACTCCAGCCTGGATGACAGAGACTCTGCCTCAAAAAATCAATTAATTAATTAATTAAATTTGAAAAAAAAAAAAAAAAAAACCCATAAAAACAAAGCCATTTACAGTTACTGTGAACTCATCTCATCCCGTCATGAAAACTGAAAGGTTGTGTCGAGAAGACAGGCATCGAACAAGCCAGCTCATAAATGAGCAGGGGGTTATAACTGTGATCCCCGCAGTGAATGAGAAGGGAGGGGAACCGAGGCAGGGGTTAGCAGGGCACAGGTTCAAATCCTGGCTCCACCATGTCCCAAGTGTGTGGCCTTGGGTTCACCTCTCCACAAATCTGCCCCTGCGTTTTCTCATCTGCAAAGTGAGAATCACAATTGAAACCCACGTTGCTGGTTGGTTGTGTTGAGGACAAAAAGAGTTGATCCCAAGCTGCACACAGTAGGTGCTCAATACATGTAAGGCTTGAGCGTCAGACTGTAGCGTGCTTTGGGGGAAAGGAAGCCACCCGGGTTGTAAAGAGTAAACTTATGCAGTGGGCACAGTGGCTCACGCCTGTAATCCCAGCACTTTGGGAGGCCCATGTGGGAGACGCACTTGAGCCCAGGAGTTCAAGACCAGCCTGAACAACATAGTGAGACCCTGTCACTACAGAAAGAAAAAAAAAAAAAAAGCCGGGCTCGATGGCTCACGCCTGTAATCCCAGTACTTTGGGAGCCTGAGGCAGGTGGATCACGAGGTCAAGAGATCGAGACCATCCTGGTCAACATGGTGAAACCCCGTCTCTACTAAAAATACAAAAATTAGCTGGGCACGGTGGCGTGTGCCTGTAATCCCGGCTATTCAGGAGGCTGAGGCAGGAGAATTGCCTGAACCCAGGAGGCGGAGGTTGCGGTGAGCCAGGATGGCGCCATTGCACTCCAGCCTGGGTAACAAGAGCAAAACTCCGTCTCAAAAAAAAAAAAAAAGAATAAGCTGGGTGTGGTGGCATATGCATTTGTAATCCCAGCTACTCTGAGGATCTCTTGAGCCCAGAATTTCAAGGCTGCACTGAGCTAGGATGGCACCACTGCACTCCATCCTGGGCGACAGAGCGAGACCCTGTCTCAAAACAAACAAAAAGTCTCTGTGATCTTTCTCTCTTTTGGATCACACTCTGGGAAAAACCAGCTACCATGTTGTGAGGATGCTCAAGCAGTACCATGGAGATTCACACACGGTGAAGCGCTGAGGCCTCCCACCAACAGCCACGTGAGGGCGCCAGCTTGGGAGTGGCTCCTCCAGCCCGAGTCAAACCTTCAGATGCTGCTGAGAGTTGATTATGGAAAAAAAGAAAAAACGCTGGCCGGGCACGGTGGCTCAAGCCTGTAATCCCAGCACTTTGGGAGGCTGAGGCAGGTGGATCACGAGGTCAAAAGATCGAGATCATCCCGGTGAACATGGTGAAACCCCATCTCTACTAAAAATACACAAAATTAGCTGGGCATGGTGGCGCGTGCCTGTAGTCCCAGCTACTCGGGAGGCTGAGGCAGGAGAATCGCCTGAACCCAGGAGGCGGAGGTTGCGGTGAGCCGAGATCGCGCCATTGCACTCCAGCCTGGGTAACAAGAGCGAAACTCCGTCTTAAAAAAAAAAAAAAGAAAGAAAGAAAAGAAAAGGAAAAAGAAAACAACCTTCAGATGTGGCAGCCCCAGTGACAGTTTGACTGCAAGCTCCTGAGAGACGGTGAGCCAGAACCACGCATCGAAATCAGTCCTGGACTCCGGACCCACAGAAATGGGGTAGGTCACATAATAACGGGTGTTTTAAGCCGACAGACTGGGGGGCGGGTAGATTGTTATGGAGAAACAGCGAATGGAGGCACCCTGTACGTCACTTAGCCTACGCCTCAGATGAGCACGTATATCATAGCTAGTGTTCCTGTGTCCTAAGCACACCCTTGATCATTCTTCTTTTTTTTTTTTTTTTTAATGGAGTCTTGCTGTGTTGCCCAGGCTGGAGTGCAGTGGTGTGATCTCGGCTCACCGTAACCTCCGCCTCCCGGGTTCAAGCGATTCTCCTGCCTCGGCCTCCCGAGTAGCTGGGATTACAGGCACGCGCCACCACGCCCGGCTAATTTTTGTATTTTTAGTAGAGACGGGGTTTCACCATGTTGGTCAGGCTTGTCTCGAACTGCTGGCCTCAGGTGATCCACCTGCCTCGACCTCCCAAAGTGCTGGGATTACAGGCCTGAGCCACTGCCCGTGGCCGTTTTTATTTTTATTTTTTGAGACAGTCTTGCTTTGTCATCCCGGCTGGAGTGCAGTGAGTGGCACGATCTCAGCTCACTGCAGCCACTACCTCCCAGGTTCAAGTGAGTCTCCTGCCTCAGCTTCCCGAGTAGCTGGGATTACAGGAGTCCACACTATGCCGGGCTAAGTTCTGTATGTTTAATAGAGACGGAGTTTCACCACGTTGGCCACACTAGGCTCGGACTCCTGACCTCGGGTGAGCTACCCACCTCGGCTTCCCAAAGTGCTAGGATTCCAGGCATGAGCCGCTGTGCCCTGCCAGAATTGGTATATTTTAAGGGCGCACATTCTAAATGTTTAACGACACTGGGTTAAAATTTTAAAAGTACCGGGCGCGGTGGCTCACACCTGTAATCCCAGCACTTTGGGAGGCCGAGGCGGGCGGATCACGAGGTCAGGAGATCGAGACCATCGTGGCCAACACGCTGAAACCTCAGTTCTACTAAAAATACAAAAAATCAGCCGGGCGTAGTGGCGGGCACCTGTAATCCCAGCTACTTGGGAGGCTGAGGCAGGAGAATTGCCTGAACCCGGGAGGCGGAGGTTGCGGTGAGCCGAGATCGCGCCATTGCACTCCAGCCTGGGCGACAAGAGCGAAACTCCGTCTCAAAAACAAACAAACAAAAAAACATAAAAATTAGCTAATTAGCTGGCCATGGTGGTGCACACCTTTAGTCCCAGCAACTCAGGAGGCTAAGTCAGAATTGCTTGAGCCCAGGAGGTTGAGGCTGCAGTGAGCCAAGATGGTGCCACTGCACTCCAGCCTGGGCAACAGAGTGAGACCCTGCCTTAAAAAAAAGTGTGATATAATGAATGAGTGCCTGTGGCTTCAGCAGACAGCTCCCAGATCCCAGATCATTAGACCTGGGTTGTTTGTTTGTTTTGTTTTTGAGAAAGAGTCTCACACTGTTGCCTCGGATGGGGTGCAGTGGCGTGATCTCAGCTCACTGCAACCTCTGACTCCTGGGTCCAAGTGATTCTCATACCTCAGCCTCCTGAGTAGCTGCGATTACAGGCATGTGCCACCACACACACAGACACAGACGCGCACACACACACACACACACACACAGATACACACACACACTTTAGTAGAGGTGAGGTTTCACCATGTTGGCCAGGCTGGTCTCGAACTCCCAACTTCAGATGATCCACCCGCCTCGGCCTCCCAAAGTGCTGGGATTACAGGCGGGAGCCACCGTGCCCGTCCCTGGCACCTATACCTATATTTGGCATCTCTGAATATCGCCTCCTGCGGCCCCTTGCACTAAACCTGCATTTGTGTCCAGCCTGGGCGCCGGACGGGGCCAGATACACTCGGTCTGTGCGGATGAGAGAGACAGGAGAGAAACGGGAGAGTCAGCCCTTTAGCAAGTAAAACTTTTATTAAATAAATTTTTAGTTTTTTTGTTTTGTTTTGTTTTGTTTTTCAGACCAAAGAGAGGCGTTTTGGACATGAAGACGCTTTGCCGCTTCTGACCTGACACAGCCAACAGCAACAGGCAGCTCTCCAGCCACGGGAAGTCTTCCTTGACACAACTCACACCAGGGCAACCCGAAGTCCCAGGGTCTTTGCTTTCTTTTCTGTGTGTGTGTGAGAGTGTGTGTGTGTGTGTGTGTGTGTGTGTGTGTTGGTTTGTCCCAAAAGTCAGTTTGCAAGTTGAAACTTCATGAAATTACTCATAGCAGAAATAGAGTACGTCGTACAAATCACGGTCTTCGAGGTGGAGTATAAAAATGGTATTTACAGGCAGTAAACATGGCCCAGAAGGACGCACGGCACTCCCAAGCAGGCCCGGGGGCTCGGCGGGCGCCGGGGCGCGGGTGAGGCCCCCTCCGGGCCGATTGGCACACGGTTGCAGACAGAGACACACGGAACACAGGCACGCGAGGGGAGAGTCTCAGACACTTATCAAACTCCGGAATATCGAAACGCGTTGGTTCAGAAGATTTTTTTTTTCTTTTTCCTTTTTTCTTCTTTTTTTTTTTTTCTTTTTTTTTTTTTCTCTGCTGTGTGGTTCCCCCCACCCCACCGCCCCCCCTCTCCGGGTCAGTCAACACATTTTGGTAGAAAGAAAAAAAATGCTTGTTTTTTTTTTTTTTTCTTCTTTTTAAATGTTTTTTTTTTGTTTTTTTTTTTTCCTTTGAGCTTATGAAGTTCTCTGGCGCCTCGCTGGGTAAGAGGCCTCGCTGGGTGTCCAAACGAACTTGATTCTGTGCTTTAGACGTGGGTGTCGAGGGTCGGGCAGCTGTACAGAGGCACCCCACAAAGTCCCCCCCACCCCACTCCCAACTGGGAAACAAAAGTTCATGGCGGATTGTTTTTTTTTTTTTCTGTTTTCTCCCCATTTGTGTTTTTTTTTTTTTTTTTTTTCTTCTCTTTTCTTCTTTGTACCTGCTCAGAAAGACCGGAAAAAAAAAAAAAAAAAAGAAAAAAAAAGAAAAAAAGAAATCTCTGTAGAGGTATGAAGGTCACTATGAAGTTCGTCATCTCCGGCAAACGGGGCGCTGGGCCAGTCCGGGCAGGGGTCTTCCGCTACGCTTGGCAATCCTGGTTACAAGACCTTAAACTGGAGGCTGGTGATGCGAAGGCAGGGGCGATGGCTGCCTGGCCTTGGGAGGGGGTGGTGAGGGGCAGGGGGAGCCTCCCCCCAACCCTGTCTGCCTCCCCCTCCGACGGAAAGCTAAGGGCTTCTGCTCACATGAGTAAGGCTATGAGTCAGGGAGGGGGGCAGAGAAGGCTGAGGCCGGCCAGAGCATCTCTGTTGTACCTTTATCTATCCGGGAGGACGGGGCCAGGTGGGGCCTGGAGGCTGCAGCTGGGACCGGGGACGCCCAAGCTATGAGAGTTCCACGGCCCTGGAGAATCAGTGGTGGAGGGGAGGGGTTGCCAGAAGTCCTGGTGGGATGTGCCAGCCGGGAGGTGGGGGGAAGGGGCACCTGGTACGCGTTGCCCCGGGGTCCCACCAACCTCAGCCCTTCCTGTGTCCCCGCTGAGTGACCGGCCCAGGGTCACTCCACTCGGATGGAAGGAAGTCGGAAAGGTTTGGTCCCATGATCCGTACTCAAAAAAAATATATCTACCGTCTATAGCTCTATATATATATGCATATATATATATATAGGAAATGTGGTGGTTTCATTCGGGGAGGCCGCCGAGTTAGGTGGGGAAGAAGCCAGGGTGTTTTTCCCAAAGCAGGGGGTGTGTGAACGCTGCTGCCCCCAATTCAGGAGCCTCTCCCCACCCCTGCCCCTGCCCCGGGACAGACCACAAAGCCCCCTCCCCACCCCGGGCGGCCTCCAGTTGAGGGGGGCGGGGGCGAGGGGAAGAAAGGGCTGGTGTCCAAAGAACGGTTGTAATTTATGGAAAAGTTCCTGGATCGGTTGGAAGCGGAAAACCCTCCTGGGATGGGAAGGCCCCTCACCTGGGGGAGAAGGGACGGGCGTTAGGGGCCACACAGGTGGGCACCGCCTCCCCACCCGGCTCCACCCGCCTTGCCCTGGCCAGGCCGGGATCTAGGAACCCAAGGGCTCCCATGGTTTCCAAAAGAACAGATCCCACAAAGGCCACAGTTCAGAGGCCGACAGACCCAGCATTCAAAGAACCTCACGTCACCATCACCAAGCCCGTCTTCCTCCTCCTCTGGCAGCTGGGGACAGATATTTCTGTCTGCTTTCTGTCTCTCCTTCCCCGCGTCCTGCCATCTAAGGTCCGCGAAGGCAGTTTCTCCCCTGCCTCCCCCACCCCCGTTTCTGTTCATTCACAGCTGCGTCCCTGAGCACTGGGACAGTACCTAGCACATAACAGATGCTCAATTTAAAAAAAAAAAAAAAGGGCAGACTGAGAGTGAAGGGATCGCAGACAGCGGCTTTGGATTTCGCTTCTGGTTGGCAGCTCCGGAAGGCGCGTTTTGTGCCGTTAAACACTCCCAGATCCGTGTGTGCCGACCCAGGGGGATGTGAAAAGCCCAGGGAGCCTCTGACTGAGCATCTACTCTGCCAGCTCTAGGCAAGGCTCTTTGATGACGGTGATGGTGATGGAAAAATCACAACCACAAAAAATCACAACGAATTATCCACTGCTGTTTAGGTGGTGGGTTCCGGGCTCGGCTGTGAAGAGAAACCCCCTCCGTTCCCTAGGTGGACCGTTTCTGCCGCCTGCGCCCATTTTACAGATGAGGCTCATCGAGGTTTGAGATCCAGGGTTGAGTTCCCACGGTGGCCCCACAAGGTTTACTGTTCATCCCGTCCCCCTCCCAAAAAAATGGTTGAGAAGGCAGTTGGCCCTGACGGCAAAATACGCTGGGTTTGGTTGTGTTGTTAGTTTTCTTACACCATGGTGGGTGGCGCATGAATTCCACTCTTCCATCAACTCACTGGGTAAGAATGACACCCAGTGAGGGGCCGCTTATCCCAGGGGAACTGGTGGAAATGGAGGAGGGAGACTGGAAAGTGTCAAGGCCGACTGGACCAGGCCCTGGGCACTGTCCCCACCCTCCTCTCTCCAGCCCTGGTTCCGAGTTGGGGTCCAACCTTTGGGTCTGGGGTCTGGGGTGGGCACTTAACATTTTTGTCTGGTTTGGGGTTTTTCAGCAGGGAAAACAGATTCATAGGACAGACAGAAGCCCTCCCCACCGCACCCCCAACCTCAGGGCAAACCTGGTCTCTCAGGCGAACTTCTATGCATCCCTCAAAGCCTTCTCTGGGAAGGATTCCCTAACCGCCCTCGATGGGCCTGGGCTCACCTCAGTCCCTACCCCGCTCCCGCCCTCTACTCCAGCCCCGACCGCAGCGGGATTGGGGGTGTCTACGTCCAGCTCTGTGCCCGCCAACCCAACCCGGAGGTTTTCTGCAGCCTCTGGAAGTATCACCCCACCTGGGGAAGGTTTGGAGCACGAAGCGGGCCGCGGGAGGGGGTTTCGGACAAGGGGGGGGGTGGGGCAGTGGGGGCTGGGGCGGGGGTGGGGCCGCCTGGCGGCTCACCTGGGCCATGCCCACAGCCTCGGGGCGGCCGTGGGCGCGGTCAGTAGGGGTGTCCCGGGTCTTTGGGCCGCTTCAGCTGCACCTTGAGCCTCTTCATACCAATCTGGAAGCCGTTCATGGCCTGGATGGCTGTCTGGGCGCTGGCCGGGTTATCAAAGCTCACGAAGCCTGCAGAAACGGGGGCGACCTCCACGGTTGGCACGGCGGCCGTCCTCGGCTTGTTCCTACGCTGTGGCCCTGGCTTCCTGGCTCACGGGGTCCGGGGCAGGTCTGTGTTTGCACACTTGCACAGCCCAGGGGGTGTGTGGTGGACACACAGCAGCAGCCCTGGCTTTGGACTTGCATACCTCTGAGGACGGGGCACTCACTCCTTATCTTGGGGTCTGCTCTGCTGAGACTTCCAGGCTGGCACAGAGGCGAGGTGGGGCCTCTGAGGGTCCTGGAAGGGCCACCTTCTCCACACGGGATGCCTGTCTCCTTCCAAGCCCTCTGTTCAGCCAGGATCTGTGTCTCCAGCTGACTTTGTGTGTGCATCCTTGTTTCTCTCTTTTTTTTTGTTGGGGGAGGGAGGACAGGATCTCACTCTGTCACCCAGGCTGGAGTGTAGTGGCACAATCTCAGCTCACAGCAGCCTCGAACTTGTGCCTCAGCCTCCTGAGTAGCTGGGACCACAGGCCCACACCACCATGCCTGGTTAATGGTCTCCGTTTCTCTGTCTTTGAGTCTTTTCTCTCTCTCTCTCTCTCTTCCCCGCCTTCTGTCTCAGCTCTGTCTCTTTTTCTTCATCTCTGTCAGTGTCTCTGCTCCAGTTTCTCTCCAGAGGCCATCAGAAATACTCCACCTCATGACTGGGTGTGGTGGCTTCTGCCTGTAATCCTGGCACCCTGGGAGGCCGAGGCAGGCAGATCACCTGAGGTCAGGAGTTTGAGACCAGCCTGACCAACACGGTGAACTAAAAATACAAAAATTAGCCGGGCGTGGTGGTGGGCACCTGTAATCCCAGCTCCTCGAGAGGATGAGGCAGAGGAATTGCTTGAGCCTGGGAGATGGAGGTGGTGGTGAGCCGAGATCTCGCTGATGGATCGAGACTCCATTTCAAAAAAAAAAAAAAAAAGGCAAGGGCTTTTGTTTTTTGTTCTTTTTTGAGATGGAGTTTTGCTCTTGTTGCCCAGGCTGAAGTGCCATGGCGCAATCTTGACTCACTGCAACCTCCGCCTCCTGGGTTCAAGCGATTCTCCCACTGCAGCCTCCTGAGGAGCTGGGATTACAGGTGCCCACCACCACACCCGGCTAAGTTTTTGTATTTTTAGTAGAGACGGGGTTTCACCCATGTTGGCCAGGCTGGTCTCGAACTCCTGACCTCAAGTAACCCGCCCTCCTCAGCCTTCCAAAGTGCTGGGATTACAGGCGTGAGCCCCCACGCCCAGCCCCAGGTCTCAGTTCTAACATCACCTCCTCCTGATCACCCAGGATAACGTTCCCGCTTCCACCCCACCAGTCTCTATTTTCTGAGCAGATTTTTCTTCCATCATTTAAAACTCCCTGACCTACACCCTACATAAAAACTCAGTTCCTTTTCACCCTGACCACATTTCAAGTGTGCAGTAGCCACGTGGGGCTGGTGCTGTGGTATCAGACGGCTCCAAGGAGGAACATTTCCGTCACCGGATAACGCTCTACAGGAAGCCAAAAACACCATGAGCTCCCTGGAAGGAAGGGGTTTTTGTCAGCCTCATTTTGTGCTGGGCTGGAAAGTGCCTGATGTACAGTATGGGCTTCACACAGGTTCGTTCTGCTGTTTTTGTTTTCTACATGAGCCAGAGTCTTGCTCTGCTGTCTGGGCTGGAGCGCAGTGGTGCGATCTCAGCTTGCTGCAACCTCCGCCTCCAGGGTTCAAGCAATCCTCCTGCCTCAGCCTCCCCAGTAGCTGGGATTACAGGTGCCTACCACGGCACCCAGTTAATTTTTGTATTTTTAGTAGAGATGGGGATTTTTCCATGTTGGCCAGGCTGGTCTTGAACTCCTGGACTCATATGATCCTCCCACCTCAGCCTCCCAAAGTGCTGGGAGCACAGGCGTGAACCACGTGCTGGTTCTGATTGTGAGTTATTTCAGCACAGCCCTGCCCCTGACCAAACCCTCTTAGCCCTGTTCCTGCGCAGGTGCAAGTGAGGGAGGCGGATGGGGAGGGGCGTCGGGGCGGATGGGGAGGGGCGTCGGGATGGATGGGGAGGGGCATGGGGGCGGATGGGGAGGGGGGTCGGGGCGGATGGGGAGGGGCGTCGGGGCGGATGGGGAGGGGCGTCGGGGCGGATGGGGAGGGGCGTCGGGATGGATGGGGAGGGGCGTCGGGGCGGATGGGGAGGGGCGTCGGGGCGGATGGGGGTGTCGGGATGGATGGGGAGGGGCGTGGGGGTAGATGGGGAGGGGCGTCGGGGCGGATAGGGAGGGGTGTAGGGGCGGATGGGCGGGGCGTCGGGGCGCATGGGGAGGGGCGTCGGGGCGGATAGGGAGGGGTGTCGGGGCGGATGGGAGGGGCGTCGGGGCGGATGGGGAGGGGCGTCGGGGCGGATGGGGAGGGGCGTCGCCGGCCACTCACCGAAACACTTGCTCTGGTTGGTAGCTCGATCCATAAACACCTTGGAGGAAATGATATTGCCGAAGGGCAGGAACATCTGCGTCAGCTCCGTGTCTCCAAACTCCTGGGGGAGGTGGTAGATAAACAGGTTACAGCCTTCGGGACCTGCAGGTGGGGGAGAGAAAGACATAAAGCCCCCAAGGAGAGGAGGCGGACCCCCCCCCGGGGGAGGGGCACAGGTCTGGAGCCCGCATCCGGCTTCTCCAGCTGTCGGGAGAGGGGTGACCCAGACACCCAGAAGGAAGGGGCCTCGGCACGGGCTGGGGACGGAGACAGGACACACCCACCCCTCGCCTGCACCAGACGTCCCACACTGGGCTACTCTGCACCACGGGTGATCCTCAGACTCCAGGTAACTGACAAGACCCACAGCCCAGATCAACCCTCAGTCCCCGACCCCGGATACCTGAAAACTCCCCAGGAAGCCCCCCCTCCAGAAAATCCCTCCCTAAACCTCAAACTCCCGATCGTGTACGAAAGTCAGATGAGCTGGGAGTGCAGAATAAGGAAACTTGGTAACATCTTTGCAATAATAATAATGTCTCTAAAATAAAACTCGTTTGTAAAAGTCTGGTTTTCAGCCATCATGCCTGGCCAAATATGTTTTTTGTTTTTGTTTTTGAGACGGAGTCCCGCTCTGTCGTCCAGGCCTTGGAGTGCAGTGGCTCAAGGTCGGCTCACTGCAACCTCCGCCTCCCGGGTTCAAGCAGTTCTCCTGCCTCAGCCTCCCGAGTAGCTGGGATTACAAGCGCCCACCACGACGCCCCAATAATTTTTGTTTTCAGTAGAGATGGGGTTTCACCATGTTGGCCAGGCTGGTCTCGAACTCCTGACCTCAAGTGATCCGCCTACCTCAGCCTCCCAAAGTGCTGGGATTACAGGTCAGCCACCGCATCCGGGCTGGCTAATTTTTGTAGAGGTTTCCCCATGTTGCCCAGGCTGGTCTGGAACTCCTGGGCTCAAGAGATCCTCCCTCCTTGGACTCCCAAAGTCATGGGATTACAGGGATGAGCCACTACGTCTGGCCAAAAAAATTTTTTTAATTTCACTTTCTCAAGCCCCAGACAGGGATAACTCTCCAGACCTTGGATAATTTTCCAAACTCAGATGATGCAGAAACAAAATCAGGTGAAATAAAAAGAGAATTATCTGGTCCCCAGTCCCAGATATCCTAAAACCACAGATAATTAAACAATAAAATAATATACCAACCATAAATCATTCTTTTTAAGTTACAGACACTACCCTAAATTGTCCCCTCTCCAAACCCCCAGTGGATGGTTAATATACAACAGCATTTTTTTTTTTAAGTCTCACTCTGTCGACCGGCGCCGGGCTGGAGAGCAATGGCGCGATCTTGGCTCACTGCAACCTCCGCCTCCCGCGTTCAAGCGATTCTCCTGCCTCAGCCTCCCGAGTAGCTGGGACTACAGGCACGCGCCACCACGCTCAGCTAATTTTTTTTGTATTTTTAGTAGAGACGGGGGGGTCTCACCATGTTGGCCAGGATGGCCTCGATCTCTTGACCTTGTGATCCGCCCGTCTCGGCCTCCCAAAGTGCTGGGATTACAGGCGTGAGCCACCGTGCCCGGCCCAACAACAGCATTTTAAAACCTTGCTCCTCTGAAGCCCTAAACAGTCCCCCAAATCTGCTAATTCCAAACCTAAAAATGCCCTTCTCCCATTCACACCTCACAAAAAGAGTAATCCCTGCCCTTGACAGCAATAAATTGGTTGTAAGAGACAGGGTCTGTTTGTCACTCAGGCTGGATCACAGTGGCGCAGTCATAGTTCACTGCAGCCTCTTAACTCCTAGGTTCAAGAGATCCTCCCACCTTGGCCTCCCAGGTAGCTGGAACCACAGGCACACACCAGCATGCCTGGCTAACTTTTTAATTTTTGCAGCGATGGGGTCTCACTATGTTGCTTAAGCTGGTCTTGAACTCCTGGCCTCAAGCAGTCCTCCCACCTTACCCTCCCAAAGTGCTGGGATTACAAGTGTCAGCCACTGTACCTAGCAAATGCTTGCTTTTTGTCTGTTTGTTTTTTAGATGGAGTCTTGCTCTGCCGCATAGACTAGAGTGTAGTGGTACGATCTCGGCTCACTGCAACCTCCACCTCCCGGGTACAAGTGATTCTCCTGCCTCAGCCTCCCAAGTGGCTGGGATTACAGGCACCCACCACCACGCCCGGCTAATTTTTGTATTTTTAGTAGAGACGGGGTTTCGCTATGTTGTCCAGGCTGGTCCCGAACTCCTGATCTCAGGTGATCCACCTGCCTCAGCCTCCCAAAGTGCCGGGATCACAGGTATCAGTCACGGTTCCCGGCCGATGCTTGTTTTTGAAATGCCAGTTTTCTCCAGTGTGACTGAACGATTTTGAGCATAACCTGAATTTTGCATTTGTTCACGCGCTGATTCATCCCCAACTAAAGGCTGTCGGCAGACACTGAAAACCGCAGCCAGCGGCGCTGACCTTCAGAAGGAAGCTCACGCCGCGCCCCGCACACCCTCCGACCGCTCCGCCGCTGTGCCGTGAGCTAGGCCTTCCCCATCCGGGGTCACGACTGTCTGATTTCAGACAACTCTCCTTCCACCACTGCAGTCACTCACATGTAGCCCTTCAGAGGCCGTTTCCATGTGCACATTCTGGGTCTTTTCCAAGGCCAAGCACGGTATTTAATGTAGTATCATGCATTTCTTTTTTTCTTTTTTTTTTGAGACAGAGTCCTCGGTCTCAGAGTTGCCAGGCTGGAGCGCAGTGGCGCGATCTTGGCTCACTGCAACCTCCGTCTCCCTGGTTCAAGTGATTCTCCTGACTCAGCCTCCAGAGTAGCTGGGATTACAGGCACCTGCCACCACACCCGGCTAATTTTTTTTTTTTTTTTTTTGCTATTTTTAGTAGAGACGGGGTTTTACCATGTTAGCCAGGATGGTCTCGCTCTCGTGACCTTGGCCTCCCACAGTGCTGGGATTATAGGCGTGAGCCACCCTGTGCCAGGCTTTTTTTTCCCCCCTTGAGACAGAGTCTCGCTCTGTTGCCCAGGCTTGAGTGCTGTGGTGTGATCTCGGCTCCCTGCACCCTCCACCTCCCGGGTTCAAGCGACTCTCCTGTCTCAGCCTCCCGAGTAGCTGGGGCTGCAGGTGCGCACCACCACGTCCAGCTAATTTTTGTACTTTTTAGTAGAGACAGGGTTTCACCATGTTGACCAGGATGGTCTCGATCTCTCAACCTCCCAAAGTGCTGGGATTACAGGTGTGAGCCACCGTGCTGGGCCAGTATCATGCATTTCTAAACCACATAATGTAGAAAACAGTGCCACCGTTTCTACTAGGTCCCCATCTCTCTTTTCTCTTAACATGTCACTGATAAAGGTTTTTTTGTTTGTTTTTAAATTTTTTGTTGTTGTTGTTTTGAGAAGGTCTCCCTCTGCCGCCCAGGCTGGAGTGCAGTGGCGTGATCTCGGCTCACTGCCCTGGGTTCAAGTGTTTCTCCTGCCTTGGCCTCCCAGAGTGCTGGATTACAGACGTGAGCCACCGCATCCAGCAAGCTTTCCCTTGTTTTCATTTTTTAAATTGTATTTATTTAATTTTTTTTGAGATGGAGTCTTGCTCTGTTGCCCAGGCTGGAGTGCAGTGGCGCGATCTCGGCTCACGGCAACCTCCACCTCCTGGTTCAAGTGATTCTCCTGCCTCAGCCTCCCGAGTAGCTGGGATTACAGGTGCGCACCACCATGCCAGCTGATTTTTGTATTTTTAGTAGAGACGGGGTTTCACCATGTTGGCCAGGCTTGTCTTAAACTCTTGACCTCAGGTGATCCACCCAACTTGGCCTCCCAAAGTGCTGGGATTACAGGCCTGAACCACCATACCTGATTTTTTTTTTGAGACGGAGTCTGCTCTGTTGACCAGGCTAGAGTACGGTGGAGTGATCTCAGATCACTGCAACCTCCACCTCCCAGGTCCAAGGGATTCTCCTGCCTTAGAGCCTCCCAAGTAGCTGGGATTACAAGCACATGCCACCATGTCCAGCTAATTTTTCATATTTTAGTAGAGACAGGTTTTTACTATGTTAGCCAAGATGGTCTCAGTCTCCTGACCTTGTGATCCCCCTGCCTCAGCCTCCCAAAGTGCTGGGATTACAGGCCTGAGCCACCACACCTGGCTGGCTTATTTATTTATTGACAGAGTTTTTCTCTGTCACCCAGGCTGAAATGGTGCAATCTTGATTCACTGCAAACTCCACCTCTCCGGTTCAAGCAGTTCTTGTGCCTCAGTTTCCCCAGTACCTGGGATTACAGGCACCTGCCACCACACCCAGCTAATTTTTTGTATTTTTAATAGACACAGGGTTTTGCCACGTTGGCCAGGCTGGTCTTGAACTCTTGAGCTCAGGCAATCCACCCATCTCAGCCTCCCAAAATACTAGGATTACAGGCCTAAGCCACCTCAATTGGCCCGCTGTTTTTGTTTTGTTTTGTTTTTTGAGACGGAGTTTCGCTCTTGTTACCCAGGCTGGAGTGCAATGGCAGGATGTCGGCTCACCGCAACCTCCGCCTCCCGGGTTCAGGCAATTCTCCTGCCTCAGCCTCCCGAGTAGTTGGGATTACAGGCACGCGCCACCATGCCCAGCTAATTTTTTGTATTTTTAGTAGAGACGAGGTTTCACCATGTTAACCAGGATGGTCTCGATCTCTTGACCTCGTGATCCACTCGTCTCTGCCTCCCAGAGTGCTGGGATTATAGGCTTGAGCCACCGTGCCTGGCCTGGCCCGCTGTTTTTAAACTTCATTTAAGTGGAGTCTCTTGTATCTGGTTTCTTTCACTCAGTTTTCTGCCTATGAAGTTACGCTGTGTCATTGTGAGCATTGGGTACTTATCCTTTTCACTGCTGTATAGTATTCCATTGTGCTGATCCATCCTAATTTATTTATCCATCTTCCTGCTGATTTACAATACTTGGGTTGTTACCAGCTTGGAATTTTTTTTTCTTTTTTGAGATGGGGTCTCACTCTCTCACCCAGGCTGGAACCCAGTAGGGATATAGTTGCTCACTGCAGCCTTGACCTCCCCGGCTCAAGTGATCCTCCTGCCCCAGCCTCCTGAGTAGTTGGGACTACAGGTGTGCACCACAGCTCCTGGCTAATTTTTTGGTTTTTTTTAGACATGGGTCTTGCTAAGCCAGGCTAGTCTTGGACTCCTGGGCTCAAGTAATCCTCCCACCTTGGCCTCCCAAAACGCTGTGTAATTACAGGCGGGAGCTATCACACGTGGCAAGAACGGTGTGGATTTGAACCCTGTCAGACTCTAGAATCTAATCCCTCCCTCCCTCAACAGCTTTAGCTTTACTGGGGAGGCCTCAGTTTACCTGAGATACCTCATCGTGCCATGCCCCATCCTCAAAAAGGGTTTCCTCTCCAAAAAAATCTTGGTTCTGGAGAGGGTTGGTAGGAAGTCACTGCTATTCCTATGGGGTCGGGGCGAGCAGGGTTCTCTTTTCAGAAGAGGAAACAGGGAGATTCCGTTACCGGAGAACACCCAGGGGGCCAGCGACTGCACCAGGACTCAACTCCGGCCGGTCCAGCTCCCAGGCCGCACTCTCAGCCCTGCGGGTCCCAGACGCCCGGGCCAGACACGGAGCCTGGAGGTGGACGGGGCGGGCAGAGGGCGGGGCTGGCGCCCAGGGGAAGTCGCGGCCGCCTCACCTTCTCGCTGCTGCTGCTGCAGGAGGGGCGGCGGCTGGGGGACGCTGTGTGCGATGGGCGTGATGGCCGCGGTGGGGTACATGGCTGTGGAGACCGGAGCAAGACACAGGGCGAGGAGGGGCGTGAGGCCACGTGGGCGCCCTGGCGTTGGGGAGGGGCGGGGCCACGAGAGGGCGGGCCAAAACGAGAATGGGTGTGGCCATGGCTCGGGGGGGTGTTGGGGGCGGGGCAGTGTCAGAGGGAGGGTCCGAGAACACTAGGACAAAATGAGGTGGGGCTATTGCCCGAGGGGCGGGGCCACGGTGGAGGCCAGGGCCAAGGCAAAGAGGTGGCGCGGGTTGGGGGTGGCAGTGGACCCCGTGGCATGAGGAGAGGGGTACAGGAGGTGGGCCACAGCAGAGGGCGGGGCCAAGGTCATAAGTCAGCGCAGAGTGGGTGGGACCACTGCTTGAGGGGTGGGGCCACAGTGAAGGGCGCGGCCAAGGGGTGAAGGGGAAGAGTGGGGCGGAGCCGTGACTTGATAGAGGGCCATGTGGGCAGGACCATGAGTTGGGCGGGGCCGCAGCAGAGGGCGGGGTCCCAGCCAAGCCTTGGGAAGTAGAGCCAGAGGTAGGGGCAGGACTTTATCAGAGAGGCGTGGTCAGAGTTAAGGCGGCATGTGAGGGGCGGGGCTAGGAGCTGCATGAGGGAGGTAAACGGCGGGACCCAGAGCAGGGGTTGGGTCAGGGCTAGAGGCGTGACCAAGGGGAACCGCCTCTCCCCAGCACAGAATATGAGAGGGTGAGGCCAGGGGCAAGCGCTGACCCTAAGGGACAAGGGAAGGTCCTGTTTGCGGCTATACCTGGTGGTGGGGTGGAGCCAGGAACAAGGCCAGGGGTTGCATATGGGAGGCCAAGGGTGTGCCCTGAGGGGCGGGGCCAGAGGCAGGAGGCGTGGCTGGGCACAGAAGAACAAGGCCGGGGCGGGCCCTGGGGGCGGGGCCCTAGGCGGGGGCGGGGCCCGAGCCCAGCGTGGGCACGTGGGCTGCCTCCTACCTGTGTACTGCTGGACTCCGGAGAAGGCAGGATGCAGTGTCTCGGCCACAGTCGGGCTCTGAGCTGTGGAGCAGACGGAGGCGTTAAGTGGGGCGGGGGCAGCAGAAGTCTTCCATCCATCCCCGATCCTTAGGAGCCAGAAAGAGAGCAACCAACACACCCCCCCAGCTTCGCCTCTGTGCTAAACCCTCTGTAGTACCAGGAAGCTGAGGCCGAGGAAGGTGAAGCCACTGGCACAGGCCCACTCAGCAAACAGCAGGAGCTGAACTGGCATGGGGTTTCTCGGACTCCAGAGACAGTTCACCATCGCCTCCATCTCTCTCTCCCTATCCCGACCCCTTTGCCTCCCAAGGGAACCCTTCACTCCTCTCTATTCTCTGGGTTCACCAGGACTTCAGCCTCCACCTCATATCGCCACTTGCCCCCATCCGCTGCCCCGTCTCCGTCTCCACTTCAGTTTGCTCATCAGACACCCTGTGGTTCCCCCATCCAGCTGTGGCCTTCTTGCTACCACTAAGGAAAGGGGGAGGGGGAGGGAAGAGGTTGTCCAGGCCACCAAAGCTGATGAGTCTGGGTAAAAATTCAGCCAAAAAATTCTGCTCGAATAGACGGTGTGCTAGAAGGCAGGGGATAGTGGCGGTGGCAGTGACTCCAAAGTGGGTAGCATGGAGTTCACTTTGGGGCTGGAGCAGTTCTGTATCTTCACTGTGGGGGACACACAAGTCTATATCTGTGACAAAATGGCAATGAACCCCCCCCACACACACACACACAGAAAGTGCATGCAAAAAGTCGTGAAATCAGGCCGGGCACGGTGGTTCACACCTGTAATCCCAGCACTTTGGGAGGCAGGCAGATTACAAGGTCAGGAGTTCGAGACCAGCCTGACCAACATGGTGAAACCCCATCTCTACTAAAAATACAAAAAATAGCTGGGCGTGGTGGTGTGCACTTGTAATCCCAGCTACTCAGGAGGCTGAGGCAGGAGAATCACTTGAACCAGGAAGGGAGAAGTTGCAGTGAGCTGAGATCGTGCCACTACACTCCAGCTTGGGTGACCGAGCAACACCCTATCTCAAAAAAAAAAAAAAAGTGAAATCAGCTGGGTGTGGTGGCTAATGCTTGTAATCCCAACACTTTGGGAGGCCAAGGCAGGAGGATTGCTTGAGCCCAGGAGTTTGAGACCAGCCTGGGCAACATAGCAAGATCCTCATTTCTACAAAAAAAAAAAATCAAAATCAAAATCAAAAATTAGCCAAACATAATGGCATGTAGCTGTAGTCCCAGTGACTCAGGAGGCTGAGGTGAGAGGATCACTTCGGCCCAGGCGTTTGAGAGTTCAAGGATGCGGTGAGCTATGATCGCACCACTGCACTCCAGCCTGGACGATGAGTGAGACTCTCAGTCTCTAAATAAGTAAGTGAGTAAGTAAATAAATAAGAGGGGAAATCAATTGTATGGCGCCAGTGTTCATATCCTGGATTTGACAGTGTTCTGTGGTTAGGGAAGCTGTTGGCACTGGGGAAGCTGGGACTTCTCCGTGGTATTTGGGTAACTCGCTGTGAACCTCCAATCATTTCAAAATAAAATGTTAAAGCCATTATGTTACGGCTCACACCTATAACCCCAGCACTTTGGGAGGCCGAGGTGGGTGAATCTCCTGAGCCCAGGAATCTCAGGTCTGGGCAACATAGCAAGATCCCATCTATACAAAAATTTTAAAAATAGCCAGGCATGATGGTGCATGCTCGTAGTCCCAGCTACGAGGAAGGCTGAGATGTGAGGGTCGCTTGAGCCTTGAAGACGGAGGCTGAAGTGAGCTGTGACGGCGCCACTGCACTCCAGCCTGAGTGACACAGTGAGATACTGTCTCTAAAACTAACTAAATAAAAATAATTAAAAAAAATAAATTCTCCCACATGGTGGAAAGACAGATGACTTACTTCCCATAAATTAGATGTTGGAAGATATCTGCCCTAAAATTGTAGGCATAGCATAGAGAAAGGAAAGACCGCGGCTTCAGGAAAGCCGGTGCAGCCCAAATCAGTGGGTCATTCATTTTGTATTGAATGAATACATGAATGAATCCAGGCGTCGATATCTCCCCCCACATGATAGAGATGAATAAGATTTCTGGGCCGAGCACGATGGCTCACACCTGTAATCTCAGCACTTTGGGAGGCCGAGGCAGGCGGATCACCTGAGGTCAGGAGTTTGAGACCAGCCTTGCCAACATGGCGAAACCCCATCTCTACTAAAAATACGGGAATTAGCTGGGCACGGTGGCACGCGCCTGTAATCCCAGCTACTTGGGAGGCTGAGGCAGGAGAATCACCTGAACCTCAGAAGCGGGGGTGATGATGCTACTGCCCTCCAGCCTGGGTGACAGTGAGACCCTGTCTCAAAAAAACAAAACAAAAAAACCTGATGGTGCCATTCCTGGAACTAGGTGGCCTGTGAAGCCTTTTGCACATGACTTAAATTGTTGATGCAACTATGAGGCCACTCATATTATCTGCCCCTTTTCCCAGATGAGCAAACTGAGGGTCAGAGACTTGAGGAGCCCACCCAGGGTCAGTGAACTGGAACTTAAGCTCGGAAACACCCAGGTGCACCGTTTGGAAGTGTTACCGCCCTGCCATGGCGTCTCTTTCTTTGTCCACCGCTCTTATCTGCTCAGCCGAGACACCCTTTTGCCTGCCCTGCTGTTCCCTGGGCACTGTGATGCAGGGACTCCTACTTGTTCCAGAAACACCATCTCTACTCCCTGACACTCTCCTATGCCCCAGAGGACCACCCCGAGTTACCTGGGTAGGGCACAAGGCCATTGGCATAGACGGTTTCCAGGGCAGGGTGCCCACCTGGAAAGGGCACGACACCTGCAAAGCCGTTGGTGATGGGAGCCACGAGGCCGGGCACGGCAGTGGTGCCCAGCAGCGGGGGTGAGTGCAGCCCTGTGGAGCAGAAGAGGGTCATGGGGAGGCTGGTTCTGGCCCCGGCCCTGCCCATTCATCCTTGGGTTCCTGGCGGAGGCTCACCAGAGGCAGGAGCGATGGGTGTGGCAGGCAGCCCATTCAGGCTGACGGCGCCGATCTGCTGGATATGACAGGGTGAGAAGGCCACGCCGGGACTCAGGTAGCTGCCCGAGGTGGACAGCACTGTTGTCTGCTGTTGCATGAGCTGGAGGTGAAGAAGTGTCACAGTTGGGGTGACAGCTGGCCTGAGATCATGGCTCATGAGGGGAGGCTTGGTTCCCCAGTAACTAGAGGGGAAGTCAGGATGGGTATTTTGGCTCAGGCTGGGATCAGAATTGGAGCTCAGCCTGGGATCAAGGCTCTGCCTGGGAGCAGGGATCAGTTAGGAATTGGAACTCAGCCTGGGAACAGGGATCAGTTAGGAAGCGAGGCTCAGCCTGGGATCAAGGCTCAGCCTGGGAACAGGGATCAGTTAGGAAGCGAGGCTCAGCCTGGGATCAAGGCTCAGACTGGGATCAGGGCTCAGTTAGGAAGTGAGGCTCAGCCTGGGATCAAGGCTCAGACTGGGATCAGGGCTCAGTTAGGAAGTGAGGCTCAGCCTGGGATCAAGTCTCAGACTGGGATCAGGGCTCAGTTAGGAAGTGAGGCTCAGCCTGGAATCAAGTCTCAGACTGGGATCAGGGCTCAGTTAGGAAGTGAGGCTCAGCCTGGGACTAAGGCTCAGTCTAGGATCAAGGCTCAGTTAGGAAGTAGGGCTCAGACTGAGATCAAGGCTCCATGTAGGATCAAAGTTTAGTTAGAAATTGAGGCTCTGCCTGGGATAGGGGTTCAGTCAGGAGCTGGGGCTCAACTTGGGATCAGGTCTCAGCCAAGGTGGAGCTTGGTCATGTCAGATAGCAGTTTGGGGTCAGTCTGGATTTCGAGGTTCAGCCAGAATTGGGCCTAATCTAGATGTGGAGCACAGCCAGGTTCTGGGGCTCAGTCCAAGATTTGGTGTTAATTTGAGATTAGGGCTCAGTCTTCTGGATTTAGGGGCTCGGTCTGAGCTTGGTCTCCATTTGGAGTTGGGGTTCAGCCACACCAGGACAGGACCCTGAGTCAGGGAGATGGAGGGAGAGACGGAAGATGGGCCAAGAGGCAGGAGCCCCTGACAGAGAGTAGACAGAGACAGGAGAGATGGAGCCGGACCCCCAAAGCCATCGCTGGGTCACTCACAGCCTGGGCGTAGGCACTGTAGGGGCTGAAGGGCAGTGTGAGGGAGGGCGTCAGGATGCCCAGCTGGCCAACCATCTGCTGCATGCGCCGGAGCGTCCGTTCCTTGTCGGTGTCAGCGAACTTCACCACCAGGCTAGAGGAGGCTCCCTGCAGGGGCAGCAGCGAGCAGGGAGGGAAACGGGCTGGGAGGTAGCCAGGACTCTGGGGTCCCTGGATCCACATCAGCTCAGGCCCCCTGGGTGAGGGGCATAATGCCAGTGGCTATCAGCCATGTCCACAGGCCCCCAGTCCCAGGAGCAGGGGCCACAGCAAGGACCGCGTGGAGCATCCTGGGCCCAGCAGCATCTGCACAGGGGCAGCGCCCAGACCTAGGGCGCTGTGATGGGGCACAGGTGGGGGCCCTGACTGTCAGCCACACACTCAAAACAGATGGAGAAAAGCCATAGATGGAGGTACCTATGACTTCCACTCACCTGAGAACAGGTGAGAAACCCACTTCCGAAGGAAAACAGCAGGCTCAGGTGGACCACCCTGCTTTTGTCACCACACACCTGAAACTCCAACCTCCAGAAAGGAACAACTGGGGCACTGACGGATGACCGTCCAACACTCTCTGACACCTGAGAACAGGTGAGACTCCGGCCACAGGAGAGGAAGGACACGGGACAAGTAGATGATCCTGACTCTGTCCCCTGGGCCGGGAGCCAGCAGGGAGTTCAGCCCCGGAGTTTTGCGCCCTGTGCAAGCAGATGAACCTGTGCTCCATCCACCCGGCGGACAGCGGAAGGCTGCCACCTCTAGGGACAGGGGGCCCTGCTTTGCTGGAGCACAGACAGAAACCAGGTGACTGCCATCCCACCCCATGGGACAGGTGCCACACAGCTGAAATCTGCCAACGGGCAGCCCCGGGCAGCCAAGACAGTGGTGAGCAAGGGGGTGTCTGTCTGTGCAGTCGGGACATGGCAACACATCCTGATATCGGTGTCAAGAGAAGCCTGGGGGCTGGGCGTGGTGGCTCACGCCTGGAATCCCAGCACTTTGGGAGGCCGATATGGGCAGATCACCTGAGGTCATGAGTTTGATCCCAGCCTGGCTAACATGGCAAAACCCTGTCTCTACTAAAAATACAAAAATCAGCTGGACGTGGTGACACATGCCTGTAACCCCAGCTACTTAGGAGGCTGAATCACTTGAACCCGGGAGGCGGAGGTTGCAGTGAGCTGAGATCTCACCACTGCACTCCAACCTGGGCAACAGGTCAAGACTCCATCTCAAAAAAAAAAAGAAAAAAGAGCGCGAGAGAGAGGCCTAGGTTCAGGGGCCCAGGAGGCCATTCCCACCCCCCATGCCCTGATTTGGGCTTAAGAAGAAAAATATCTTGCCCTTCTACCAGTTCCTCCCTGATGAACTGTCTCCCAGCAGAATGCACCCTGCAGCCTCCCTGTCTTGGCTGACATGGCCCTTTGGTAGAGAACTCACTCCTCCAGATGCCTACCAGCCCTGTCCCTGATGTCTCTGATCCTGAGAACCCTTACCCTTGTGCTGAGCTAAGCCCCTCCCCTTTGGGTTTTCAGAGCTGAGAGGGGAGGGTCGTTCCTCCCAGGTGCCATCTTCCTTGTAGCAGATTTGGAAATGTGTGTGTAGCAACGATGGCCCCCGGGGACTCCCATCCTCAGGGGAAGGGCCATCCCTAGTGACTCCCTGGTCCCACCAGCTACTTACTGCTGCAGACCCTGGGACCTGTCCCCGGTCCCCATCCCTACCTCACCCAGTGAGTCCACGGCTCCCATCCAGGCTTCCCCTACCGTCTGCTTTCTGATCAGGCCTCCTCCCCATCCACCCGGCCCCAGCTCAGGCCTCCTCCTCCCTCAGCTGGACCTTGCCCTAGCATCCTCCCTGGCCTTCCAGCCTCCTCCCTGGCCTCCCAGCCTCCTCCCTGGCCTCCCAACCTCCAGTCTTGCACCCTGCCCTCCCAACCTCCAGTCTCGCACCCTGCCCATCCCCTACATTGGCCCCAAAGGGATATCTGCGATCAACCTGGCCGGTCTCCTCCCTTGCTCTAAACCATCTGTGGCTCCCCACTGCCCTAGGAGAAAGTCCAGGCTTCTCAGCCTCGAACTGCAGCCCCATCTTCTATGGCTCCTCCGGGCTGCCTGTTGCCACCTCCCAGCCTTTCTTCTTGTCCTCAGCAAATCCAACCCAGGTGTCATCCCCTCTAGGACACCCTTACATGTACACACATACACACTCACACACACAATCTATACACACCTGCATGTGCTCACAAATGCTCACAATCACCCACAATACGGACACACTCATGCACACACACACACACCTCTGCCTGCAAATGCACCTGCAGATGCACACACACACACACCTCTGCCCGCAAATGTACCTGCAGATGCACACACACACACACCTCTGCCTGCAAATGCACCTGCAGATGCACACACATGCACTTCCTCCCCCAGGGCCCAGGCATACTCACACTCACGCTCACACACATGTAGAAACACACACGGGCACGCACATAAACACACACTAGCACACAATGGCACACTTATCCATCTGTATTCACACACACACCCCTCGTGCACACAGCACTCACATTAAATACTCTCCTACCAGTAATGACATACTCAAACATGCGCTCACACACACATGCATGCATGTATTCTCTCAGGCACGCTCACACACACGTGTACTCACCCACACACGCACACCTGTAATACATCCATGCACACACACACACACACGCTTGCATGCTCACCTCCACATCTGCACACACCTACATGCATATACCCACGAAAGGGACCACAGTCAGGGACTGCACCTCTTTCTCTACTTGTGCTCTCTCTGAAGGACAGCCAGGAGCTACTGGATGACAGTGATGGTAAGACTATGGCCTGTTTCATCCCTGTCCCCCTCACCCCTTTTCCATGCCCACCCCCACGGCCAAGGGCAGCTCAACTCACCGGCATGGTCTGGCTCCCATGCAAGGCGTGGATGGCCGCCTGCGCCTCCGTGTGGGAGGAGAACTTCACGAAAGCACAGCCTGCTCCGAGAGAAGAAGACAGAGGAGTGATGGGGTCACAGGACTGGTGGGGCAGGGGACACAGGAGAGGGGACAGAGAGACCTATACGGCCAGTGTCAGACACATGCTCCCAGGGAGAGTTGATGACAGAAAGACAGCCAGCCATTCGTTCAGACAGACAGCTGGACAGTCAGCCAGACCAAGGGTCAGAATGGAGGAGAATCGCACGGATAGACAGTCACAAAGTTAGACGAAGAGCTGGTCACTCATGCAGCCAGCCAGCCTGCCTGCCATTCGTTCATTTAGTCAGCCAGTCATCCAGATAGCTGGTTAGATGGTCGGTCACAGAGTTGTGAAGCACACAGCCAGATGGGCAGTGCAAGGCTGGGCACCGTGAGGGACGAGGTCCAGACAGGCAGATGGGCAGTGCAAGGCAGGCACTGTGAGGGATGAGGTCCAGACAGGCAGACCTGTCCGACCCAGCCAGAGAGATGGAAATGATCAACCACCAGACCTGAGCAGACCCAGACAGAGCCACACAAGCAGACAGACGACCACCAGACACAGGCTAATGCAAACACAGTCCCACAGACAGAGTCATAGAACAGGCAGAGGCCACCAGACCCGGCTCCAGGCTGACAGAGTACTATGGAAGGACCAGCCATATTGTGGGGGAAGGGGGTAGAATGTTCTGGAATTACATAGTGGTGATAGTTGCCTGGCTTTATGAATAGAAAAAAAGCACTTCATTGTACATTTTCTTTTTTAGATGACGTCTCGCTCTGTTGCCCAGGCTGGAATGCAGTGGCGCCATCTTGGCTCACTGCAATCTCCACCTGCCAGAGGCCTCAGCCTCCTGAGTAGCTGGGATTACAGGTGCCCGCCACCACGCTTGGTTAATTTTTGTATTTTTAGTAGAGATGGGTTTTTGCCATGTTGGCCAGGCTGGTCTTGAACTCCTGACCTCAAGTGATCCACCCGCCTTGGCCTCCCACAGTACTGGGATTACAGGCATGAGCCACTACGCCCGGCCTCACTGTGCACTTTAAAAGGGTGAATTTGGTGGGATGTGGATGACATCTCAATTTTAAAAAGGAAGAACCAGGCAATGCTCTGAAACCATCGGACACATCCAGTCCTAATAAGGTAGGAAAGACCAGAATGATCGGTTCCAGATGAGCTCTGTGGACAGAGACCACCAGACACCGTCATTTGAACTCTCAAGAAGGAAGATAGCCAGCCAGGCAGAGACCACCCGTCAGTCATACGGACAAATCATATAGACACAGACAGTACCAGGCGGAAACAGGTCTACAAACAGTCAGGTGGACGAATCCGAGACCACAGGACACAGGTAACTGTGTCTCTAAAGAAGCCCCGCCCCTCTCCAGACCCCGCCTCATCCCAAGGCCACGCCCCTTGCATTACCACTCACGTGCAGCTCCTGGAAAAGCTCTGCCCTTCCCCAACCACGCCCCATTCAGAGGCCACGCCTCTTATCCCCGCCCTCCCCACCACAGCCCCGCCCCTCTTCAGGGCCCGTCCCCAGAGCCAGCATGTAACGAGAGCAGGCAGGTAGGATCATGCGGTACCAGTCTCTACCCAGCCCCACCCCTGTGAACCAGCTCCTCCCCACCAGCCCCAGCCTCCTATGGGCCTCGCCCCGCCCCACCTGGCCAGCCCCACTCACTGCGTGCTCAGCCCCGCCCTCTCCCATGGCTCCTCTTCTCCCCACGGCCCCTCACCCTGGAGCCAGTCCCTCCTAACCCTACGAATTCCACCCCTCCCTGTAGCCCCTCCCCTACCCAACACCTCACTTCCGCAGCCTCACCCATAGACTTCACCTCTGGTGAAACCTCGGGCCTCTCCAGGGCCAGCTCTTCCCTACCTGCAGCCCCAGCCCTCCCGAAGGGCGCACACTTGGTAAGGCTCCTCCCCTCCCTAGGGTCTTGCCCCACAGGCCCCGCCCCCAGAGCCAGCTCCACTCCATCCTGCAGTCCCGCCCCCTCCCAAGGCTCCGCCCCCTGCAGCCTCACCCAGACTCCACCCCTGAGAATCCCCGCCCCTTCCCAGGGTCCCACCCCAGAGCCAGCTCCTCCCCAAGGCCCACCCCTGCAATTTCGACACCTCCGGCCCCGCCCCTGCAGCCTCACTATAGCGTCCATCCCTGGAGAAGCCCCGCCCCTCCCCAGGGTCCCACCCTATAGCCGGCTCCTCCCTACGCTGCAGGCCCCACCCTCCCCACAGGCCCCGCCCCCAGGTCCAGCCCCGCCCCTCTCGCAGTCCCGCCCCGGCCCCCGCCCGTCACCTTTGCTGCTGCCGTCAGGCCCCCGGAGCACGGTGCACTCGTCGATGACCCCGAAGGGCTGGAACAGCCGCAGCACGTCCTCCTCTGACTGCTGCTTGTTCAGCATCCCCACGAACAGCTTCCGGTCCCCTGTGGGCGGCGACACCCACCTCAGCCGAGTCCCGGGCCTCCGGGAGGGCCTCCGGGATTTCTCCCTCCCTCCCTCCAGCAGAGTGGAGGCGGCAGGGCAGGAAGATGCGGCGCCCAGGTCCTGCCGGCTCCGGTTCTGCGCCTGCGAGGGAGGACCCAGCCGCGCCCTTTCCTTGCCCCGGATCTCTCCACCCTCCCACGGGCCCTGCAGGTTCGCGTTTCCGGGCTTTTGCCCAGGCGGCGCGCCCGCCTGGAATGCACTCCCTGCGGCCTTTTGGGGTCTCCGCTCCACTGCTCCCCCTCCAGGCGGAGATGACCTCTCCCTCTGGTGCACTCAGAGAGCCCGCACCGAACACTACGGCTAGCAGCTGCCTGGCGGGGCCGGGGTCTCTGTCTGTCTGTCTGTCTGCCCCCCCGTACCTGCCAGGCGGAGATGGGCACTGACGGTCCTTGGACCCTCTTGGTGCCCAGCAGAGGCCCCTGCCCAACCTTGTCGGGATCAAGAGGGGACAGGCAGTCACCATCTGTGGAATGGAGTGAGGGTTCACGTGCTCACAGGACCAGGGGCCCTGGCAGCCTGGACCCTCTGCCGGGTGGGGTTGGGCTGGAACCTGGTCTGAGGCAGGGGCTGGGCCAGCCTCTCCCGTGTGAGCTCTGTCCCTTTGGGTAATCGCATGCTCCCTGGTAATGGGGAACGTGGTGGCTTCATCTCCGAGGGACGGCGAGCTGGGTTACTATGGAAACCGCTCTCGGCAGCTGTCACTCATGGGGGTGGGAAGGAGAGAGAAGCCAGCAGAGAGACTGAGAATCAGGCAGAGAGAGACAGATCAGAGAGAGCACGTTCGAGAGAGACTGCGAGAGACAGAGAGAATAAGAGGGACGAAGAGACGGAGAAGAGAAAAAGGAGAAAGAGATACACAGAGGGCGATGGAGAGAGAGAAATAGAGTGGAGACATACAGACCCCACCTCGCTACTCCCTGTCCCACGCTGGCAGCCAGGGTGGAAAGTGCGAAAGGGGCTCCCAGCCCAGAGGGCCTTTACCGGGCTCCTACATATACCTAGAGGTCCTAACACTCCTGCGCCACACCACTCAACCAAGTCTGGCTGCCCCTCTTCAGTCTCCACTTGAGGTGGAGAAGAAATATACACATTTCCAAGAATGACTAGCTTTGGGTCCCAAGGAACAGCCAAGTATGCCCCCGCCATGGGGACGTCCTGACACCAAGCTCCAGCCCCACACAGATCGCAGTGGCTCCAGCCTCCCACAGTCAAGCACACACGTGCAAACACGCCCATGTGCAGGCCGGGCACACACACATGCACGTGGGCAGGAAGGCATCCCACTGCACACCGTTCATGCATGCTCATGTGCACCAGCTACAGAAACACAAATGCACACGTGCACAGACTCACACACATCTGCACGCAGGCAAGCCGGGTGTGTGCTCATATACACACACATTCAGGCGTGCACATACAAGCACACAAACATTTGCACACAGAGACTCCAGAGAGCAATCCACAGCCCTTCGGGCCCCCATTGTCTGTGTTTAAAGCCCCTCGATTATTGCTCCCTGAAGGGAGTGGGGTATTTCAAACTCTAGGGGGAAGGCAGCTGGACCTGGCTAGACCCCTCCATCCTCCCTTGGGGTCTATGGACATAGCCCCTGCTGCTCTCGGGAACCCCTGCGTCTCCCCCCACCAAGAGGTGCGTGAGCAGGCATGCGACTACTGCGTGCTTTGCAGCAGGGAGGCCAGTCCCAGATCCACAGGCCTCGGCCACTGTCCCTTTGGGGGAGAGAGGAAGGAAGAGATTTTCCTTCTTCTCCCATTCCTCTGCCAACCCCCAGCCTGGCAGCCACAGAGAGATGACAACTACCTCCGCGGCTTTCGCTGTCCGCAGGCTTCACCTGGATTGGCCGCGCCATCTGCAGAGAGAGGGGGAAGGGAAAAGTCAGGCTCAGCGGTGGGAGCGTGGTGGGCGGGGGCTTTGCCTGAGCTCTGCTGTGCAGCCCTGCTCACCTCCCACCACCAGCCCTCAGCACCCCACTAATACCCCAGCCAAAGCAAATGACACACGGTCCCGCCTACGAGGGGACTTGTGTGGCGAACTCTTAGTTAGCCCTCAAAACCCAGCAACAATATCCCTTCCTTCAGGAAAACGCCTTGCTTCCCCAAACGCGACAGGCCCGATTCCTCCAGTCTCTTTATACGATGGGACTTTGCAGTTCGTACCATCAAGAACCAGAGTCTATTTTCCCACTCCTGGCACTTGAACTTGGCCAAGGGACTTGCTGTGACCCACAGAATGTGGTGGAAGTTAAGTTGTGGGAGTTCTGGGCCTAGGCCTCGAGGGACCTTGTAGCTTCCACTCTTGGAAGCCTGAGACTGCCCCGTGGAGAAGCCCAAGAGGAGGCCCCTCCCCGTCCTCTCCTGCTAGGCCCAGTGGAGTCTCAGCTGACTGCAGCTGCTGAGTGACCCCAAGAGAGGCCGACAGAAGAACCGTCCAGCTGAGACCACACCGAGCTTTGCAGAATCCAGAACAAATACAATTACTGGGGTCGTTTGTTACTCAGCAGTGCTGACCGATACACCAAGGCATTCAGCCACATCTCCAGGGAGCTTTGGGAGGGGTCATACCTGAGTCGACCCGCCTGCCATCTGGATTCATTGTTCTAGACAGTTTTGTCCCCCGTCCCAGGCACTGAAAATCATGTTTTATGAAAAAACAAATTCTCCCTTGCACCAACCCTCACAACATACCCAGTCCTAGGTATGAACTAATTCTGATATTTGAGAACAGGTTCCAGGGAAATGAGAGTTGGGGAGGCATTTGTATCTCCACTGGTCCTGGGACAGAACCAACCTGATGTCTGTGGCAAACTCCTATTCAACCTTCAAAACCCAACTTAAAAGTCCCCATGCAGGGACTCTTCCTATTCCTCTGGGCTCCTTCCTCCCTCTGTCTCAGGGCCGGAAGTGTCTATGTCTTGTTCTGTCTCTCTCCAGACAGGGGGACCACAGTTTCTCCCCACATGGGGAGGGACACAATGGAGGAAATGGAGAAACCCGCCGAACAGAAGGGGCCAGAAGGAAGTGGCCAACTTCCACCAACACAGAGAGGCGTCTGGAACGGGAAAGACTGCGAGTCTCAGAGCTTTTTCCAAGTCAGACGAACTTGAAATCAATCCCCACGCCCCCGAGCCCTGTGGTTCCAAAGTGCTCTTTCTACTCTTCTGACTTTTGAGTTTCAGCAGAGAACACACTTGAAAAACGCCTGGTTTTCTTTTTTTTGAGGCGGAGTCTCGCTCTGTGGCCAGGCTGGAGTGCAGTGGCGCGATCTCGACTCACTGCAGCCTCTGCCTCCCGGGTTCAAGCAATTCTCCTGCCTCAGCCTCCCGAGTAGCTGGGACTACAGGCGCGCGCCGCCACGCCTGGTTAATTTTTTTGTACTTTTAGTGGAGATGGGGTTTCACCATGTTAGCCCGGATGGTCTGGATCGCCTGACCTCATGATCCGCCCGCCTGGGCCTCCCGAAGTGCTGAGATGACAGGCGTGAGCCACTGCGCCTGGCCAAATGCCAGGTTTTCTAATCACAGCACAGTTGCCCAACACGCTTCAGAGAGGTGCAATTTTCACCCCATTCTACAGACATCAACATCGAGATTTCTGTTATTTGTCTAAGAGAGAAGTTACCTGTGTAAGGTCATGGTGAGTGAAGACTTTCTGGACTCCAGATTCAGTGATATGTCCACCTACTCCCATAAACAAGGCCTCCTCCCCATCTCTGAACCCCCAAAGTCTCCTCCCCACGGAGCCCTGTCCCTTGTGATCTGACCCCTTCTCTAAGCCCCATCCCAGCTCCATGTCCTCTCTCCCACCCTGAGCAACCCCTCGGTTTGCACTCCCTCTGCATGTCCACCCGCCCCCCAAGCTTCCCTCTTCTCTTCGAGCCCCTCCCGCTTGAGAGGCTCTTCCTCATCTCTGGGTCCCCTCCCCTCTCCAAGACCCTGTCCCATTCTGACACCCTCCTTCCTGAGTGTATGTCCTCAGCACATATGGTTTCTTCAATCTGAACTCAGCCTTGGGGGTCCCAGAACCAGAGAGGCCCCTGCCTCCCTGACCCTGAGTTCCCAATCCTCCCCGCCCAACCTTCCTGCCCCCCCCAGCCACACCCTCAGAGGGACCCTGACCACCTAGGAGAGGAAAACCTCCATGTCCCTCCCCCACCCAGTCAGCTGGACCTCCTTCCCACCCCATGCCCCCCATGCATACACACCGGGGCCCTTTCCACCTGGGTACCACACCCTGCTAGGCTGGAGGCAGGAGGGGAGACGGTTTCAACCAGATGGGACCAGCTTCTGGGCTGGGAGGGGGGTGCCAGGGGAGGTGGGGAGAGATGGGGGGGCACCTGCAGGAGCTCCAGCCTCCTGCTCCCCCCACCCCTCCCACCCCACCTCCGTTGGCCCTCACCTCCTCCCCCCTCCCAGCACCTTGGGCAGATGAGGATGGAGTTGCCATGGCAACGCTGATTCACCACACGGAAGCTGGCAATTGTTGTTGCCATGGAAACCGCCTCTTAGGGGCGAGCCCAGCTCCTGCCTTGCACAAAAGAGATATTTAAATATAATCTTCTGGAGATGGACGAGGGAGGCGGGGAGGGGCGGCTTCGGGGAGAGAATCTGAACCCTCCACCCTCACCTTGTTCTGGGGTTGGGGGGCTGGGGTACCTGCTCCCCATCTCCCCCACCCGTCTCATAGACTGGGCCCTTCCGCTTCCTACTGGGAGGTCCCTTCCCCCCTCCTGGGTCACCTCAGCAGCCGGGGAGAGGGGGTTCTGGTCTGGTCCAGAGAAGCCAGCTGGGTAGCCCCCTCCTCTCCAGGCCTCCACACCAAAGCGGAACTCCAAGGCCCGGCTGTCCCCACCCCGCGGCCCGGCGCCCGCCTTACCCACCGGCCTGGAGACCCGCGCCAGGCTGGCATCCACGTGCCGCCACCCGGCCGCCCGGGGCGCACAGGCGCGCACCCGCTGCACTGCACGCTCGGGCCAGGAGGAGGCGTGCCAGGAGGGGATCTGGGTCTCCCCACACCCCACCCCTCCTGTCGCCCATGCCGGTCCATCTGGCTCTGCCTACCTCCTCCCGGCTCCCTCTCTCCATCTGTCCCGCCGAGGTCTCTGCCGAGGGCTCTCCCTCCCTCCTCCACCTTCTCTGGCTCCCCATTGCCGCGTCCCTTCCCTGACCCTTCTCTTCCTCTCCATTTCTTCAGCAACATTCCTGCTGTGCCTCACGCTGAGGAATTTTGGAACTCCAGGAAGGACCCTCCACTAGCCTGGCAGAGGGGGAGACAGAGCCAGACACAAGCTCTCCCATGGGGTCAGGGTTGGAGCTGGGAGAGCCAAGGGCAGAGGACAGTGAAGTGCCAAAGGCTGTCCTAGGCCTGAACTGAAGATGGAAAATTTACATTGGGTTTTGGAGTAGGAGTAGGAGTTTGGAGGGGTTGGACACAATTTCTCATGTTGGGGCAATACCTACATCTGCTGACCCATTTAGTGTCAGGATAACTTAATGAGATGAAAACATTCGTTCCCATTTCACAGATGAGCAAACGAAGTCCAGAAAGAAGGGAGAGGTTGGGAGGCCAAGGTGGGAGGATCACCTGAACCCAAGGAGTTTGAGGCTGCAGTGAGCTATGATCACCCCACCCCACTCCAGCCTGGATGACAGAGCCAGACCCTATCTCTCCAGAAGGAAGAGGGGTAGGAGGGAGGTGTTCTGAGGACGCAGCCACCCTCCAACCAAGGGGTCCTGTGGGCTGAGGAACGTCTTGGCACTGTGGGCATGGGTGGGCTTGCACGGGGTGGCTGAGAAACGGTCTCTTATGTCTGACCTGTGTATGCTAGAGATGGGGAAACTGAGGCCTCTTGGGGATGGGCAATGGGAATGACTGCAGAGGAATCTCTCGCAGTGAGGCTAGGGCGGCCAAGGAGTCTCCAGGATTTGCAAAACTGTGCCCTTAGAAGAGTACAGATTCAGAGGAGGGGCCGGGCGCGGGGGCTCACGCCTGTAATCCCAGCAGTTTGGGAGGCCAAGGCGGGTGGATCACCTGAGGTCAGGAGACCAGCCTGGCCAACATGGTGAAACCCTGTTTCTACTAAAAATACAAAAAATTAGCTGGGCGTGGTGGTGGGCGCCTGTAATCCCAGCTACTCAGGAGGCTGAGACAGAAGAATCATTTGAACCCGGGAGGCAGAAGGTGCAGTGAGCCAAGTTCACACCACTGCACTTCAGCTTGAGCGACAAGAGTGAAACTCCATCTAAAAAAAATAAAAAAAAAGAGAGATTCAGGGGTAGCCCCAGACGGGTTATTTGCAGGTGGTGTGGAGGGAAGGAAGAAAGATGGACCCCTCGTCTGGGCTGCCCCAGACACCATTTGCCTTCCTCACCTCCTACCTAGGCGCCCGCCCAGCCTCTCTGAAACACCCAGGCCAAGCACTGCCCTGCTCTAAAGGCTGCTGTGGCTCCCTATTGCCCTCTGGGTAGAGGCTCAGCCCCTCATCCTGGCATTCGAGGGCCCTTTGCTACTCAGCCCCGGTCATTCCTCCCCACCCCTCCTGCCATGGCCCCCTGAACATGGCCAGTGATGGAATCACCCCCGCTGCATCCCATCCTTGCCCTTCAAATGCCATCTCCCCCGTGAAGCCTTCCGTGCTCTCTCTCCATCTGCTTCTACTGCCTTGCCCAGGCATTGCCTCGATTGCGACCCCTCCCCCCTAAACACACACACTGCCCTTCCCTCAGGGGAGCTCCGGTGGGAACAGGGGAAGAAGGGCACCGGAATCTGTGACCCTCCTTTCCCCAACAAGAGCCTAGCCCAGGGTCCACAAATGACAGCGGAAATGAAACACGGGTTTTTAGACTCCTCGGAA